CCCCCGTAGCCCGCCGCGTACTCGGCCGCCGCCGCCGGCGCCCCGCACGCGTTGCCCGCGTACAGCGGCTCGGCCAGGTTGCCCGCTACGGCCGGGGAGCCCCCGAGGCCCGCGGAGCCGCCCGCGCCGGCCGGCTTGGCTCCCGGGAGGCCTTCGTGGAGCGAGGCCAGGGGGTAGGGCGGCTCCGGCCCGGGCCAGGGCTCCGGGTCCGCTTTGGCACCGTTGAGGAAGACGGCGTCACCGTAGCTCGCCAGGCCCGGGCGCTCGTAGGGCGAGTCCAGGACTCCGGAGTACTTCTCGGCGTAGCGTTTGAGGAGGTTGGAGGCGGTGAGGGCGGAGATGTCGTCGTGTGCCCAGGCGTAGTGGCAGCGCTGGCGACCCCCCGGGGGCAGCTCCAACTTGTGGGCCGGCGACGGAGTGGTGGAGGAGACGTCTAGGTGCTGCTCTGGCCACTGGTTGAGGGGCTGGGCGTGCTCCGGTGTCCAGTGCATCTTCGACAGAGCTGCGGGCAAGAATTAGTTTGTCAGAATGGCTCCCTCCACGCCAAGAGGGACCCGAAGTGCCGCGGTTGGCCGTAGCTCCGGGCGAGTTGTCCCAGCCAGGCCCATCGGCCCTGGAAAGCGCAGCGGCCTTTGCCTCCTTGCCTCTCTCCCTTCTTTGGGCCTTTGACTAAAGCGGTGTTTCTCAAGCTGTGTGTCGCGATTATTTTGGCACGCCTCTAGCTCCCAAATTATTTCCATTATGATTTATAACCCTATCAAAATGACAGACATGGAGTAGCAATGAAAATAATTTTGCTTGGGGGTCACCACCACGTGAGCAGCTGTATTGAGGGTTGGACTGAGAACCACTGAGAAACTGGAACCCCGAGTTGGCCTCGTGGTCGGGGCAGGGACCCGCTCCATCCAAAACCAACCCCATCACCTCGCCAGCGTCCTGTGGGATGCACAGGTTCACCGAGGAGCGTGGGGCACAGCCAAGCATGCTGTCTCTACCCTTCAGAGCGGAAGGCCCCCACACTGTCTCCCACCAGCTTGTGGTGTGACCCCTGAACCAAGAGACGCAGGGCCTGAGAATGGCACTGCCTCGGCACACGGCTCCAGTGGGCCGCCTGACCCAAGCAGAGTACTGGGAGACTACACGAGCCCGGACACCAGTTCTGTGATTACGCCTCAAGCCCACGCTTCCCGTGGGTCGCCTAGCGGGATCTTCCTTCAGCAAACTCTATGATATGGGTCCATGCGTATTTTGCTGCACTGCGGATTGAACCCGAGGCCGCCTGCGTGCCCGGTAAACACCACAGAGCACGAACTCTAACATCCCGGAAAACAGTGTTGAGCACACGGCCAGGCGTGCTCTGCTGATGGCAGGGTTAGGTTTAAGGGCGGCTAGAGTGATTCAGCCACCCGGAGCATGCCACGCCCGGCTAAGAACTAACGCACCCTAAAGGTCACTGGGAGCAGTGCATCCCGGATGACAGGAACTAGGTCCTCACCGGGGCTAGCGGGACGCAGCTGTGCACATCTGCATCTTGCATCCCGGAGGCTGGGAGTTGCGCAGAGCAAAGCTAAGCACAGCTGGCTCCCTGGGGCGCTCTGCTGCCACCTGCTGGACACATCACGACCTACAGAGCTCTGCTGGGCTCTGGTCAGCGCACACCAGGAAAGGAAACACAGCCTACAGAGAGGACCCAGAAATGTGGTTCCTGGGGTCCTGACGGTGTGCGTGCAGGAGGCTGGGCGTGTCTCCGTTTGTGCACACCCAGCCATACTAGCAATGGCCGATCGGTACCACCACCGCTGGCCCCTCTCAGTACTTTTGTGGCTGTGTCTTGACTGATGGTAAAACGGAAGTGGCACGTTTTCACCTTGCTGTGCATCTGGATCAGCCTGTAGCCAGAAAGCCCGAGGGTCCACCAGAGAAGGCATTAGCTAAGGAGCTGGCACCCAGAGGGTACATTCTGGGGGCACCAGCAGCCAGCTGGCACAGGCAGTAAGGGATGTGTTCAGACTCGCGGCTCTTGCTGAGAGGTTCTCAGAGATGACAGCCATTGTCTGGTGTGTAAGCGGCAGCTCCCCGGGACGTCACCAGTGTCCAACGGCAGGAAGTGGTTGTCAGTTATATAAACGTGGGCGGGTGCTACTTCACTGTATTGTGGGGCCTTGATTTCCAATACGGAGCAAAGGCGTGTGGCCTTGAGCACAGTAACCCCAAAGGGGAAGAAGGCCCAATAAGGGCCCTGACAGGAACTCATCCCCATGAGTGCCCTTCTCCTTTGCCTGGCAATGTCTCTTCTCACTGCCAGGCCTCGGCTCCACCAGGTACCGCTGGGACTTGCTCGTCAGACTATGGTCCGCAGGGTCCCCTTTCCACCTTGACCTATCCTCCAAGCCTGATTCTCACTCTCTTCTTCAGGAATCAGCCCTCTTAGAGGGGACCTGGTATGTCTGACTCCTCGCCCTCAGACACTTTCGGTGATTTGCTTTCCATTTTAGCCAGGAAAAAAGAAAGAAGCTACTGCCCCCATTTTCATCTTTATTTACCTCTGTATACACCTTGTGGGCCAAACACCTGCTGGCCCGCCCACCTCAGCAGCCCCGTCCTGACAAGCCCTTTCCCCACAGTGCCAACCCTTTCATATCTCCCTTGGCCCGGGCCAGCCTGCCAGCCGGGCTCTGCGGCCCTTCTTTTAGGGATGGTGGTCTGCACGCGGTGACCATTACCTGCCACCTGTCCCGGCAGGTAGTCAAGGAGCCATTCCTCCAGCCACTTCTGCTAAGCTGAGTTCTGGAGTGAGCTTCGAGGATTTCCCTCAAATCCAGCAGGCGAAAGGACAGAGACGTGGCCTGACTCCTAATGCCTAAGGACTGGGCCCAAAGAACAGGGATGGATGGCCAGGCACTCGCCTCTGAACTCAGGTTGAACATGGAGCCTGGAGACACACACACACACACACACACACACACACCCGCACTGCCAGTCTATCTACAGCTTCCTGTCTGGGTGCACTCGAGAGTGTGAATGCCCAGCAGGAGCACCAGTGCGTGTTTGCACGCCAGAGAGTGGTCCCCGGCGCTTCCTCAGAGACCAAGCCACACTGGCCTGGCCTTCAGCATGGTGGAAATCTCGAACTCCCTGCTCCCTGCCAGCCCTTGACACCCCTGCACGGCCACCAGCCCTGCTGCCTCACTTCCAACTCACGTTCGAGCCTCATAGTCCCCAGGGTCAGCTGAGCCAGGGTGAGGGAGGACGCAGGACTTGGGCAGGCAGGAGCTCTGAAGGAGGCATGTTCTAAAGCCAGGTTCAGACACAGGGACCCCTGAGCAGATTACCCAACCTTAGGAAGCTCTTTCTCCAGACTAAAGGGCATGACACGTTGAGGATTTAAAATGATGTGAGAAAAGCAGTACAGACTACAAGTCCTAAGTAATGCCCTCTGGCTCTGCGGCCTTGCGGGTCCCTTGACCTGGGCGCTGGGGCATGGGCCTGGCTGGAAGACTTCCTGCTCTGGCAGAGCAGGATGGGCTCACGCCATGCCATAGACCCCTGGTCCTGCTGCTGTGTTACTGCTCCAGACAGAGTCCCACATCCCCAAGCTCACACAAATGGTCCACAGTACTCGAAAGTTGAACCTCTGGCTCTTACCCTCTCCCTGCAATGCCAGACTCCACCATGTCCCAGCACTCTTGTCCCCGGCCTAAGAAAACAGCTTTGATATTTTTCCTATAGACAGGGCTGCCTTCCAGTGCTGTGGATTTGGTCTTCAAACCAAGGGAATTGGTATTCTCTTGACCAAACAGCCCCCCCAAAAGCTGCCCCTTTCCCCGTGGGTACTCTATCGCACGTGGCCCTGGGCAGGCAAACAGTCCCTTGTCTGTGGCCTGCCCTAGTGGTAGCTGGGTGCTGCAGAAAGTCTTGCAACACTGGAGGGGAGAGAGGGTGCTCGCGAGCTCGAGGGTCCGTGCCCGGCCCTGCCCAGAGCACGCCACTTCTAATTTCCATGCTGTCCGTGCTTACAGAACTGCTGAACTACAGCCCCGCCTCTCATTTTGGGGAAGTCCAAAATTGCCAAAACTGTGCTCCAACCTTCACAGCCCGCCATAACCCTGCACTCCCTCCTGAGGCCTGGCTGCCTCATCAATTCCTGGTCGCCAGCTCTGGCTTCCGCTTGCTCACTTGCTCGGATACTGTACTTCTAATCCCAGCAGACCCCTGTGGCTACTAGCTGGCCCCGTCACCCAAGCTTTCCACTATCAAAAACTATCGGCTCCATGGAAAGAGCCAGACATTTCGCTAAAATCCTAAAGGGCGTCTTTAAAATTAAGTTAGACAATTTAGACAGGGCTGGGTGGGAACACAGTGTCCGAGCCTCTCTCGTTCCTCACAAGGCCCGGACCTCAGAAATGCTAGGATTCAAGATTCCGGTCCCCACAGTGGGGGTGGGGGACACCGCTCAGCCGTGGTGGAGGAGGGCTGATGCCCCCTTCTGGGCAAGCCTCCTCCAGCTCCATTCTCTGGGCCGGGGACAAAAGGGATTGAGCAGAGAATCCTATTGTGGGGCCTCGGAGCGGAGATCTCATTAATCTATTCCCAAGGCTCCCTCAGGCCTTCTGTCATGGCCTTTGTCTACTGCTTACGGCTCATGTGGTGGCTGAGCCCACAGGCCCTGGCAGAGCCTGAGCGTGCCTCACTCCCCAGGACCCTGCCTCTCCTGCCAACCCCACAACAGAGACACAGAGACCTGGAGGACTGGGCACTTGTCCCAGTCTTCGCAGTCACCACAGGGAAACTCCGTTTCCCCAGTTCCAGGCCCAAGAACAGGTCCCAGCACAACGGGATCCTACTGATCCCGGGGCCTGGTACGAGGCCTCACATGGATGGGGCGCAACACCTGTCTAGGAACTAGAGAGTTGCTGGGAGAGTGACCGAGGTCCACACGCTGAATTCACTGTCTTCTAGCCTCCCAACACGTCCACGTGCTTCCACAGTGTCAGCCACCACGTGCTGCCTAATGGGCAGGATTGAGTCAAGCAGGGACCTGAGTTTACAGCCTTGATCAGCTGAGTGTGATCAGGAAGAGAGGGGAGGGGGAGGAGGCTGTACAGGAGAAGGAATGGGGCAGCATCAGCCAAACTCAGGAGGAGCAGGGCAGAGCTGTGCCACCCTGACGGCCCAGCTCCCAGAGCACCGAGCGCGCTCACCACAACCCACCGTGTGAAGCGATGCCCAGAACCAGCTCGCCTTAGCCTTACAGCAGTGCGTGCATCAAGACATTCACATTCCTGTTGTCAACTAAAAACCAAGCTTCAAGGCCAGGCAGTGGTGGCGCGCGCCTTTAATCCCCGCACTCAGGAGGCAGGGACAGCCTCTGAGTTTGAGGCCAGCCTGGTCTACAGAGTGTGTTCAGGACAGCCAGGGCTACACAAGGAAACTGTCTCATATAAATCGCTACTATTCTTAATGCTTGGACAACTGTTGCTGTTTTTATGCCAGTGGAACTCA